TGGCTATACCATATCTATCATATGGATTAAAAATTTGTGATTAAAACAATAATTTTCTTAATAAATTAGACGCTGTTGGAAGATCAGCATTAAAATTTCTCTTTAATATTTCAAAATACAGCAAAAACTATCTGCATTCCTATTTTCAAATCGATGACGTATCTACCATCCTCGCTCAAAACAAATTGAATCTGTTTATCAGATTACTGAGCAATCCGACTTGTTTTTCCTTGATTTTAACTCAAATATTTAATGTTAATAAGGATAACAGCTTGATCAACGAAGTAATGAAAATTTGCAACCGCCTGGAGCTAACTTTATTCAGTGTTTAAATAAGGGGGAAAAAATCATTATTAAACGTCGTAACGATGACGTAGAAGATAATATAGCGGAAATTTTAACCCAGTCCTTTGAATTCTGGAACATCAGAGAACAGAGAATGATATTCAAATTTTTGATGGAAGAAAAAATTCCAAGAAGAATCTAAATTAGAATGTCAACTTAGAGTATAAACTATTAGTTTGTATTATAATTAGTATAAAATATTACCTTTGTATTTGTCAACCTGTAGTTTTGGTGATGAAAAGAATAAAAAATAAATAAAAATTGAAGTTTTATACAAAGTTAGACGTATATTAAAAAAACATCAGTTAACACAGCTATATTATTCATTTATTAATTGCCTTTTAAATTATGCAAATATAATATGGGGAAGCGCTTACAAAACTTTAAGCTCTCTATTGACATCAGAAACACGCAGCTTGCACAATTCATTTTATGAATCATTTTTCAAGCTCAACAACCACTTCTTAAAGAAATAAAAGTTGTGAATATTTACGAAGTGAATGTTTTGAATATTTTATGTTTAAATGTAAATAAAATATATCACTTAGTGCAATTATAAAACGTTATAATTTGAAACCTAAAAACAAATATGATCTTCGTGGTAGTAATAATATCAAAGAGACATTTTTTCCAAACTAAAAATGATCAGTTATATATTTCTTATCATGGTCTTTCTCTTTGTAATAAAATAATTTTACCTAAGTTTAATTTTTTTTCTCTTCAATAATGGTCTTATTCTTCTTTTAAACGGAAAAATAAAATATTTATATCTATTTTTAGTACTTTAGTTTTTTTTATTTATTTATACTTTATTTTGTTTGTTATATAGATTGTGAAGAATACTAGAATATTGTATTTTATTTTTTGTTATAGGTTGTATAGATTATATATATATCGATTGTAGAGGATTGTAGAGGGTTATATATAGAGAGATTGTAGAGGATTGTACCTATAGATTGTAAGGGCTTCATGGTAAAGTCATGTGATCTTCTAGAAGTCCTGCCGGTAATATATTCTTTGCAAATTTACCTTGTACATATTCTGGCAAATAAATACAAGAATGAAAAATAAAACAAATAAATGTGAACTTTTTAAATTGCGTTTACACCATTTAGAAATGTGGTGTAAATGCCCACCAATTATACCACGTAGAAACGTTGTACAAATGGAATTGCGCTTTTTAATAAATTCCATTTTAAACAAACCGCATGGTTCTATTGACACTTTATAGGGGTAGCGTATTTTTAGTCCAAAATTTGCGTAAATATGAAAAAAACTTTTTATTATTAGACTAAAAAAGCATTAGAGGTTTGACTAAAAAACACGTTTTATTTTTCGGAAATGGCATAGCGGCAAAAAATGAACTTTTACTTGTATTAACATAAAATAATATTTTTTTCAAAATCGAAAAAAAACTCACCGACAGTGCAAATGAAAATTTGGTCCCAGTTTAAATAATTTTTTTTTTCTATGTACTTAAATACAAAGTATTTTTAAAATTTTTTTATTCAAAGAAAGACTATTTTAAGGTTTTTATTCAAGATTTATCTGTTGTTTTAATTTTTAAAAAGTGATAAATTACAACCATTAAATTTGCTACTCCGTCTTTTGTTTCTAAAAGTTTCAATGAAGTCTTAACTAAAAATAATAGCACGTTTGGCACTATAATTTATAGCAAAAAGTACAGTGACAAATTTAAAAAAAATTTTTATAATCTGGATATATGCGCCAGGTCGATGAACTTTTTAGCTATTCTATCTCATGTAATATCACTTTTAACAAACCAAAGAAAACCAGATTTCATCTAAAATATCTTCAACTATTATACAACTATTATGCAGGCTTTGCTGTTTGAGCTTATCCAAAAACTAGTTTATGTTTTAACTATCATGCAACTTGCAGGCTTTGCTTTTTGAGCTAATTCATGAGCTAATTTATATAATTGATTATTATAAAACTTGCAGGTTTTGCTGTTTGAAATAATTCAGGAGCTAATTTATGTAGTTAATTATAAAACAACTTGCAGATTTTGCTGTTTGAAATAATTCAGGAGCTAATTTATGTAGTTAATTATAAAACAACTTGCAAGTTTTGTTGTTTGAAATAATTCAGGAGCTAATTTATGTAGTTAATTATAAAACAACTAGCAGGTTTTGCTGTTTGAGCTTTTTCAAGAGCTAACTTATGTAACTAATTATTATGCAACTTGCAGGCTTTGATGTTTAAGTTCATAAGCCAATTTGTGTAACTAATTTACAGATGAATATTTTTCAGCTGGACACATAATCACAAATATTACATTTAAATACCGACTCATTTTTGTGTGTTATTTAGCACATATTTCAAGAATCAGCTTTCCTTGTCGCAATAAGTTGTATTAGGGCGCAAACTACTGATTTGTGGTTGAAGAACGTAGTATGTTAATTACCAACTTCCTGTTACATAAATCTAGCACGGTATAAAGCCGTCGGAAATCTTTACGTAATTTTATATTAACTTGTTCTTAATTTTTTCTGCCAAATTATACTTTCTTCAGAAATTGAATATCTATCAATGCTACACGAACTGTTATTTGTAACGCGAATTTTGCGCTTGGTGCAGCCAAACATATTCCAAATTGTAATTCAGTAGGAGCTAAATTTTTCTAAACACGTTTTGAGATAAAAGTAGAAATTACATAAGAGTTTTTAAATTTTCTAAAAGGCTGGAGGTACTGTCTATCTTATTATCGAAAGTAAACATTTTAGTCTCTAATGTTTTCACCAATCAACCTCCTAATGGATGCAAACAACCTTCAATTTTTTTTTCTACTTCACTTTTTTTTTTACAAATTTTTTTTGCACGACATTTTTTAAACATACAATCCTTACTGATCGTTGAGAAAATTTACATCTTTTTGTATACATTTTATATAGTTTTGTTTTTATCGACCAAATTTAATCTGCACTGGTGGAGGAGTTTTTTTAATTTGGTAAAAAAGTATTAATATTTTTTGTTAATACATATTTTTTTGAACAAAAATATCGTTAAGGGCTTGTTCATTAAGTACGTGTTCTCATACGGGGGAGGTTTTTAAAATAGCATACGAAAGCGTATAAAGAAAGTGGGAGGGAGGGGGGGGGGGAGAAGAGGGATCGATTTAAAAGTACGTAGGCACAAATTAAAAAAAAATTCCTCATTAATGTTTGTTTTTCTAATTTATCACAATTAACAAGTACTTGTAAATAAATAAATGTTTCTTTAATAACTAACAATTTAAAAGAAATAAAACTATACCGTATCATCGTTGTCTATAATTCGTCAGCTAGCCAATAGAAAAAGTAATTTTCTGACTAAAGGTTCTAGTTTGCCAACATAAAAGGATGTATAGTATAGGAGAGTCGAAGATATAGTGTTTCTCTATGTACACTTATACACTGATCCTGAGTAAGGCGGACTTGTATTTTACGCAATCGTGGCTAATGGGACGGACACCCCACAAAAAACCAGCCATTAGGGCTCCAAAAATCTTTTTTAAAAAAAATGCTTCTTAAATTTGCAACCCTCTCTTTTCCAATAAAATGGGGTGTGTGGGGTAGCCCGGCTCTGGGTTTCAGACTTTTTTTAAATTACTCATCTTGCAAAAGACTCGTTTTTTACCGACTTACTAAAGAGAAGTGTCTGAAAAAAATCGTCAAAATTTAAAAGTAAACTAAGGGTGGAATGCAAGAAGCGAACTTGAGTCAAGCTCGACTTGAACTTTACATTAAAACCAATAGCGACAGAGTATGGGTTTTCCCCTCAAAAAATACTCAGTCACAATTGGTTTACAAAATAAAGTCGAACTTGACTCAAGTTTGCTTCTTGCATTCCACCCTGAGATTTTTAAAAATAAAAGCAAATCACGACTTGTCTGAGATTCGATCTTGGATCTCCGATATGAATAGGCTAGCATTAACCTCTCTAATTAACTTTATTAAAACAAATAATTTTCACGTGTTTTTTAAGTTAGGATTCGGTGCCAAAACCAAGGACTTTAGGGTCGTATAAAGTATCTAAGGGAGATTAACGGGGTGGAGTGATATGCAAAGAGCATTCAATAAAGTAATGGATGGGAAATAGAATTAACTTAAAAAGACGCACGCTTTAATTTAAAAAAATATTCCTTTTTTTTTTTAAAGTTGATTAAGGTGCCCCAAGAAGTCCTTACGATCTTATCACAGAGCACCGCGGAAGAGCATTTAATAGTTCACGAAGTTCACGCCTCCATTCCAACCGATGTCGCAAAACTTGCCCAGAGGTGGGGTTTGAACCACTGATCTTACGTTTCTGAGGCAAGTGCGCTATTACTGCGCCACGGTTGCGTTTTTTCATTTATACAATTTATAATTTATACTTAATTTATACTTAATTTATTGTATTAAGCCTTAATTTATACAATTTTTTCTAAATTAAAACTTCTTTAATTATTCAACAAAAAAAAAAAAAAAAAAAAAGTCGGAGTGTGGTATTTCAAAACAGTACGGAATTTTTATGGGGGAAAAGGAAAACTTAAAAGTACGCATGGCAACAGGGAAGGTCAAATTTCAAAATTTTTGGCGTAAGTACTTTATGGACGACCCCTAAATAGTTATTATTTCTTCACAACTTCTTTAGCATTCGGAAAAAAAGCGTAGTCTTGCGATCATAAAATAAATTAAAAAAATTTATTGTTAACATTTTGTCGTTGAGCTAAGTATTCCAACATATAAACAACATAAATACATATAACAATGTACAATAAACAGAACACGCGACTTTAAAAAATATATATTTTTTGTAAAATATGAAACATTTTTTAAGAAAAGAAACTTAAAAAAAGAGAGAAAAATATGTTCCCTTTCTATTTTTTACCCGCTCAACATAATTTCTAAATAACTTATATAATAAATATCTATAAAACAGGAAAAAAAAGATTTTATTAGAAAAAAACGTAGAACTACTAAAAACCTAAAACTAAAAAAAAGAACAATATTATATAACAACATAATTTTAGAGCCACTATACACAATTTAAGAACCGCACTTCACAATTTTTACAAAATGTAAAAAATATATAAACAATTTAACTATACATTAAAAAAGTTTCAACTAGAAGTTAAACATATCGCTATTTATACTTTAAAAAACTTTAACAACAAAATTATTAGATTGCAGTAGAGCTTTCCAAAATTTTATTGGATGTCAGTCGTATACTTGTTGCACAACAAAAACATTTGGATAAATTATTCATGCATAAAATTTGTATGTCATTATTTGATAATAAAAGTTTATTGAATAAATTCAATAAATATAAGTGAAATGGAAGAGATTCTAATTGATGAACTGAAATTCATTACGAAAGAAAATATCTTTAGTTTTATTTATATACACTCCTGAAAAGAAATTTAGTTTAGAGAAAGAAAAAAATTATTTAAAAGGGTAACAAAGCATTAAACACTATAAAAAGAAACTTTTACGCATTTTTCAAGTGTAAGAAAATATTTTAGAATTTTAATATTATTAATTCTATATTTAATTTAGCATATAAATTTCGCATTTTATCATTTCACACATAGAAATAAATGAATTTTCATACTTTATGCTTTCAGCATAATGAGTAATGCAAACCACACACAAATAAAGTTCTAACAAAAGAACATAAAAATAATTTTAACTTATTGAAAACAAATGACTGCCATGCAACAAAACATTAAAATGGAAACCATGTCTAATAAAAATAACAAATTAGTTACTTTGTAACTTTTATATTGTACATTCTTTGAGCAATATTATGCACATAATCAATACCAGGTCTCCGATCTGGTTCAGGATTAATACAAACATCCACTAAATTACGCAAATCTTCAGAATAATACTCAGAAGGAAGGGGAGGATAATCACATTGTTCTATCTTTTTGCACAAGGAGTATAAATTCATTTTATCTCCATAAAAAGGAGACTGAAGTGCTGCCATTTCAAATAATAAACAACCAAGAGACCAAATATCTGACTTAAAATTATAGCCAGTTTCATGTATTCTCTCAGGGGACATATAATAGGGAGTGCCTGAAAATAAAAAAAATTATTTGATTCAAAAATGTTCAATTTATAATCAAATACTTTGAATATCTGATTTTATACATACATACATACATACATATATATATATATACATACATATACATACATATACATATATATATATATATATATATATATATATATATATATATATATATATATATATATATATATATATATATATATATATATATATATATATATATTTATATATATTTATACATATATATATATATATATATATATATATATATATATATATATATATATATATATATATATATATATATATATATATATATATATATATATATATATATATAAATTTATATATATATATACATTTATATAAATTTATATATATATATATATATATATATATATATATATATATATATATATATATATATATATATATATATATATATATATATATATATATATATATATATATATATATATATATATATATATATAAATTTAAATATACAGTGACAAACTTATAAAAATGAATTACCGACAAGTGAGTGAGCTGCTATTGTTTGGGAACTGAAGTACCTGCCCAAACCAAGATCACCAAGTTTAACAACACCAGTAGCAGTGATAAAAACATTGGCAGGTTTTATATCTCGATGCATTATTCTACGAGAGTGCATATGTTGAAGTGCTGCTGTAATTTGTACAAAATATTTCCAAATTGTTTTTTCTGGAATTAAACGCTTTTGTTTTTTAAAATGTTTGATCATTTTTGACAAGTCACCAGCATCTGCAAGTTCTAATACAATGTTCAGCTCATTGTTTTCAACAAAAGAAGCTAAGTACATTATTACATTTGGATGATTTAATGATTTAAGAAGCTGGATTTCTTTCAGACAATCATTGCGAGCTTTTATGTCCATCATCTCAAATATTTGCACCTTTTTTAATGCAACAATGCTATTATCAATAAAACAACGTGCTCGAAACACCTCGGAGAACTGACCCTTACCAATACGCTTTTGTATTTCAAAATTATTTAAACAGTTGTATTTACTTTCGTCCACTCTGTCAGTATCCATGGTGGCAGACATGGAAGTTGGTTTGGGCGACTTAGGTGTCACTGGAGTGTTAGAGCGAGATGATTGTTTTGAAAGTTCTTCTTTTTTCTCTTGTTCTTCGTTGCTTGACTTAAGATTTGGTACCTAGACAAGAAAAATTTATTACATTATAAGAAAAAAAATTAAAAATAGAAAAAGGATGATGTAGTTATAAAACTTAAAAATTATAAAACTTAAAAATTCCCTTCATTTATAACTTATAACTTTGTTCATTGAATTTTACAAAAACTACAAATTATGAAAACATTCTTATAAACAACTTTCACTTAAAAATAAAAAATACAGTGTAAACATAAAACTGTAAACAATAAAAACCTTATTTTTATTGATTTTACAAGACAACAAAATAATAGCTGAATACATACCAGTGTTTACTTTAAAAACAAAAAAAATCGTTTGAACTTAAAGTATGTATGTTTTAACAATAACAATAAAAACTTTTACAAAATTTACAAAACAACAAAAAAAAAAATCAAGTTTTTAACTCAAGTTTTTATTTAAATTCTAGTGAACAACAATAACAAAGAGAAAAAAAAAAAAAAAAAAAAAAAGATACCTTGGTTTCTTTAGACATTTTAGTTTAGTTTTAAAAAAATTCAATTTAAAATTATTTCTTATTAAAAAAGAATTTATTCTTTATAAATAATTGACAGACAATCGAAATGAAGCATTCAAGTTTATTACTCACAAATTATTATTTAATGTGCTGCTAAGGAAATGAAATGAAAAGAAAATCCTTAAAAGCTTCAAAAGAAAAATATTGAAGTAAAAAAAAAGAGATAACAAACCAAAGAGATATTGTCTAATTTTTAAAAAAATTATATATATATGTATATATATATATATATGTATATATATATGTGTATATATATATATATATATATATATATATATATATATATATATATATATATATATATATATATATATATATATATATATATATATATTGAAGACCACTCAAAATACCAATCACAATGAAGATTAAAGACAATCAGGGTTCTCACCTAATATTTAAGCATGGTCTTATAAACTTCTCGAAAAATTAATAATACAAATAATATTATGTTAAAATACTCACTTATAATAAATAAATTATAATAATAAATTATCATTTATGTTTTTTTATACATTGCATGTATAAAAAAACATATATAAATACATACATGTTATTAAGAAGTTTTTAAAAATTTTAATATGAAAGCATCGATCAAATAAATCAAACAAACTGATAAACCAAAAGCAGATTGGCATGATATATATATTTTATAATAAATTAATAATTAAAAAAAAAAAAAAATTCTTTCCTTAGGGCTAAAAACTTGAAACAATACTTCTGTTTAATTTTGAATATTATTACAAAATTAATGTTCATAATTACAATAAAAACAAATTTGTATGATGAAATTGAAAACCAATATGCAATACTTTTGTTTACTTATAAGGTGACAAAACTTAAGAAAAAGATATGAATATATTTATTTTTCAATATTTAATTATTTTATTGCATTTTAATTATTATACTGAACAAAATTTTTATTTAAATTCTTCTCTTCCAAAACCAAACACCAAATCCCCTCCCTTGCAAGGAAAAATATATCTAAATACATAAATGTATGTATGAATGAAAAAAAATTTTTTATATATACATAAATAAATATATGTATCTTTGAAAAAAATTTATATATACATAAATAAACGTATGTATGCATCAAAAAAAAATTTATATATACATAAATAAATGTATGTATGTATGAAAAAAAAAATTATATATACATAAATAAATGTATGTAGGTATGAAAAAAAATTTATATATACAAAAATAAAAGTATGCAATACATACATTTATATATGTAAAGAGTTGCCAGACGTTTATATATGTATAGAGTTGTCAGACTTTAAAGAAGGAGAACAAAATAAAAAAATATATTTTTACAGATTTAGCGCTGTGTTCTCCTCCATAAAAGCCAGACGCCTGCCAACACTATATATGTATGTATATATATTTTTTCATACATATATTGTATATATATATATATAAACGTACATAAATACATACATAAATGCATGTATGTGTATACATACATAAATAGATTTTTATATATACACATATATACATACGCTCTTTTTAAAAAGATTTAGGTTTGCTTTATAGCTGTGTTGTGTTATTATATTTTTTCATACTTTAAGTCTTAAAATGGTAACTTTAATCTAGACAGTTATCCAAACAAAAACAAAAAACAGAATAAAAACTATCAAGCAGTTACTATTAAAACTTGAAGAACTTAGAAAAAGTAAAAAATATGTTAATCCTCTCTCAAAAATCATGTTTAGGGTAGTTGTGGTCAAAATTTTAAGGCTATTTTTTACTCATGTTCCAATCATCACAATTTTTTGCAAATCATCGTTATTTGACATAAGTATAAACATATAAATGTTTGTTCCACGTTAAAAGTCAGCTCAAACATGGAAAATGCTGGATATGCCCCTATATATATATATATATATATATATATATATATATATATATATATATATATATATATATATATATATATATATATATATATATATATATATATATATATATATATATATATATATATATATATATATATATATAACCCTCGGAATTAAGGTCGGCCAACCTTTAAGTGCTTGAAGTCTGCAAAAAATTGCTAACCTCGTTTCTATGTTTTATGGTAAGAACTTTGTATCAAATTTTTTTTGCCGACTGTTAAAAGACTGAGGTAGGTAAATTATTGCCGACCTCATTTTTCCTAATTCCAAGGGTTGTATATATATATATATATATATATATATATATATATATATATATATATATATATATATATATATATATATATATATATATATATATGTATATATATATATATATGTATATATATATATATATATATATATATATATATATATATATATATATATATATATATATATATATATATATATATATATATATATATATATATGTATATATATATATATATATATATATGTATATATATATATATGTATATATATATATATATATATGTATATATATATATATATATATATATATGTATATATATATATATATATATATATATATATATATATATATATGTATATATCTTATACTGCTGACTTAGGTGAGCATGATGATGTCATAACCACCTAATGTCAAATAGCCTGCTGCCGGGGGCTTCAGTACATATCTCGACTGACAAATAGCCTGACTCGCCGTGGAGTGTTGCTACATCGACTGAGGGTTTGGTATGGGTCAGCAACATTTTCATTCATTATTCTTCGTTTTCCCTCATCGTTTTCTAAAATTGCTCACTTAATTTAGGCTAGCAAAAAAAGTGAGCAATTGCGCATATAAATATACTATAGTAGATATATATATATATATATATGTATATATATATATATATATATATATATATATATATATATATATATATATATATATATATATATGTATATATATATATATATATATATGTATATATATATATATGTATATATATATATATATATATGTATATATATATGTATATATATATATATATATATATATATATATATATATATATGTATATATATATATATGTATTTATATATATATGTATATATATATATATATGTATATATATATATATATATGTATATATATATGTATATATATATATATATATGTATATATATATATATATATATATATATATATATATATATATATATATATATATAGATTAGTAAAAACACTTATCTAAATTTTAGTTGTCTTCAACATTTCTCCATCAGTAGGTTCATCAGGAAACAGAATATTTTTTTTAATTTTTATTTTATTCAATTGAATTTTCATGCTACATTTTTCTATACAATGTTCTTATATCTGAAGATATTGTTGGCTTAGCATAGGAACAGCCACAAATAGTCATTAAGACTAATCCAAAGTAGCGTCCGTTATTGACCAACATTTTTGTGTACCGAAGTACTACTCAAGCGCTGAGTTGGCGGTGGCAGGATTTGAACTCGTATCTTACAATAGTCCGGATTTCAAACTTTTTGATCTACGCTCTAACCAAATGAGCTATCTAGCCACTAATACGCAGAATACAAATATTGCTTCCTGATGAACTTACTGATGGTGAAACATGTTGCAGTCAACTAAAAACTAGATAAAAAATAAAAATAGATAGAAAATAAAATAAAAAAATTTTCATCAACTTGTTGCTGTAATGTTTAGGGTAGTTGTGGTCGAAATGTTAGGACTATTTTTTACTCATGTTCCAATCATCACAATTTTTTGCAAATCATCCTTACTTTACATAAGTATAAACGTATGTTTGTTTCATGTTTAAAAGTCAGATCAAACATAAAAAAATGATGGATATGCCCCTGTTTATATATATATATATATATATATATATATATATATATATATATATATATATATATATATATATATATATTATTTATTATATATTTAGGATATCTTTGATTGTGTGACAAATCAAGTACCTAAATCTTTTTCTATTTTATTTTAAAATGTTTTAACAATTTTTCAGGGGGTTCATAAAAACTTATTAAAAAATAGAAAAAACATTTTTTTATCAACTTGCTGCTGTCATGTTTAGGGCAGTTGTGGCCAAAATTTTAGGGCTATTTTGTACCCATGTTCCAATCATCACAATTTTTTGCAAATCATCCTTATTTAACATAAGTAAAAACATATAAATTATTGTTCCATGTTTAAAAGTTAGATTTAACATAAAAAAATGCTTAATACGTCCCTGTTTATATATATATATATATATATATATATATATATATATATATATATATATATATATATATATATATATATATAAAAAATAAAAGTCAGTCTAAATTTTTTTTTTTTATCAACTTGTTGCTGTCATGTTTAGAGCAGTTGTGGTCAAAATTTCAGATGTTTTAACAATTTTTTAAGGGATTCACCTTTTTTGTTTAACAATTTTTTAGGGGATTCAACCTTTAAAAATATATAATGATACAGCTATTTATATAACCATCTACAATATGAATTAATAAAGTACAACAAAAGTCAATCTAAAATTTTGACTAGAACATACTCCTAAAAAGTACCAAGAAAGTTTACATGAAGTTAAAGAAATTTAAAATTTTAGATAAAAAAAAGTATTCTATCCAACAAGTAGTTTAACAACAATAACAAAAATGTTAATTGCAATAAGAGGTATTCTCATCACTAATCGAACAGAACGAATCAAATTTAATATCTGATTTTTAATGCTTGGTTCATTACTGAATTCTGCTATATGATTATTTCCCCATCCAATTTTTGATAAGAAACGTTCTTCATTTAAAACTGCCATTGCATTAACTACCAACAAAATTGCCTCCAGGAGACTATAAATACCAAAAGCCATTTTCAAGATTTTTCTAAAATAAAAAACACAAAAATATGTAGAATTACACAGAAAAATATATATACTAAAATATGTGTATAATAAGACTTATTATTTTCAGGTCTGACGTTTTCTCATTTGTTTGTCAACAATTAGATATTAGTTACAAAAAATAAAAAATAAACTAGTTATTCTTAATAGCTTAATCTAATATGTATAATTTACATTATTTATAGTAGTTACAACTATTTTTAGCAGTTTCCCTAATAGAGAATATCATAAAGCAGTTCAAAGTGATTTAAAAAAACATATTTTGTCAAGTTTTTTCTACTTTTTTCTTGATGATATTTGGAATATTGTTAATAGAATTTTGGTATTTGGATGAATGTGCTATTTGGATTGAATTGCATATATTTGTATTGTACGGATTAGTATTAGTTCTTTCATGAGGGTTAAAAAAAAAAGGTATAGTTTTTAGGACTTTAATTCTATTTTTAAAAATATTTTAAAAAAGTTTATCAATTTCATTTATTAAAAATAGTCTATAAATACTTTAATTGAATAATTTTTTATAACCATTAAAAGATTATCATTTACAATTATCAACTGATTTTTAAGGGAAATATGCTATAAATGAAAAAACATCAATTAAGGGTTTTGGTTCAAGCAGGCAGTCTGTTCATTTAAAGAAATGTTATTTTTATGTTTTAAAACATTTTCTGGTTATCTTTTTTAACTTTTTCATATTGAAATTATATAATTATATAATTAGGTAAATTTATAAAATGGGGATCATGATAAAGAGAGTTTACCCAGCTTGTCAATATCGCAATAATTATTGGCACACAACTGTTTAGGTTATTATTTACAAGCCAATGTAAGTCTTAAGCTGTAAAATGAAAAATGTTTAATAAGTGATTTTCTACTAGTTTATATATATATACATATATATATATATATATATATATATATATATATATATATATATATATATATATATATGTAATATATATAATAAATAAACGAAACTATTTATTAAATTGATTAGCTTTATATATATTCACTGATAAAAATAGATTTCTAAAAATTAGCTGCAGTTGTAACGAAAGCGAAATGAACGTTAAAAGATTAAATTTATTTTTTGTACATATATATATATATATATATATATATATATATATATATATATATATATATATATATATATATATATGTAATATATATAATAAATAAACGAAACTATTTATTAAATTGATTAGCTTTATATATATTCACTGATAAAAATAGATTTCTAAAAATTAGCTGCAGTTGTAACGAAAGCGAAATGAACGTTAAAAGATTAAATTTATTTTTTGTACATATATATATATATATATATATATATATATATATATATGTATATATATATATATATATATATATATATATATGTATATATATATATATATATATATATATATATATGTATATATATATACATATATATATATATATATATATATATATATATATATATATATATATATATATATATATATATATATATATGTATTATATATATATATATATATATATATATATATATATGTATGCATGTATATAAAATATATTTATTTCGCTTTTGTTACAACTGCAACTAATTTTTTGAAATCTATTTTCATCAGTGAATATATATAAAACAATTACATTTAATAAACAGTTACGTTTATGTTTGCTTTGAATTCTTAGTTTAAATTTATTTTGCACTTTTTTTAATAAACCAACATTGAAACAGTTTAAACTATTAGATTTGAATAATCGACCAATAACCACTAACTTAAGTTTTTTAGTAAACTAAATCAATGCAAACACAAATATTTTAACAACAAAAAATATTTGTCCATTAAAATTGATTGTAAAAAAGACAATTTTTTTAAAGGATATTTGAGTACTGACTTTTAATCAAACATGATCTAAAAAATGGTCGGAATGGACTGGAATCAAAATTCTTTAGAGTTTTAATTTTAAATTAATATTAGTTAAATTAACATTATTTTTAATATTAAATTTTTACTTATTTTAGTAAAAAATTTGATTGCACTTTTTTATTATTTTAAGCTAATTTATTTAAGGGTTTTGTATAATAAAAAAGCAAAAAAAGTTTTTTTTTAAATTATTATTGTTAATCCATTATACACAAACTAAGCAAGAAAATCAATCAATCAATAAAAAAATTTTGAAAAAAGTTTTTGCAGTCAATGATATTTACAAATAGCAAATTAACTAATAAAAAGTTGCACCTGATAACAATAATAATATACAATAAAAATAATAATTCAAATTTTCATTATATATAACATTAATAGCAATTATAAAGTTAACAATATATTAAAGCAGAAACATTAATCATAATAATAAAAATAATAATTATAATAATAGTTATTGTAACAATACTATTTAATAAAAATAATATTAAAAAATGTGATAACAAATAATTGTAATTGGAATAACGGTCATAAAAAAAAAATTGGAAGTATTTTTATATTTTATGAAAAATGAAATAGTTAAATACGACATTTATGGTCTAAGTTAATATTAGCGTACTCTTTTGCAAATGGAAACCTTTTATTTTCGTACCGCTATTTACTTGAGTTTTTTATTTAAAATTCTTTACGATCTTTTATGCTTGGGCAACAATGACGTGTCCGGAAAGTGTTCCGTAACATCGCAATAATAATATAGTATATACAAACACTATATTCTGAACATTAAATTAGTACACTTTTGCGTAAACATAATAAAATAGCATAAAAGATATATAAAGTACCAATCAAACCAAATATACTTTTATATATATGAAGTTACATCAAGAATATTTAAAAATAATAATGAGTACTGATATGAATTAAACACCTGTCAAATACAATAATAGCGAAAATAGGGATAATAATACTGATAATATTAGTAATAATAACAATGAGAACGATAATAATATAACAAAAACATTTGTATAACAATTTTATAATAATAATAACAACAGTAAGAATAATAGAATATTTTATAATAAAAATATAATATTAGTAACAATCAGGGCCGCCGAGAGGAGGAGGAGGGGGGAAGGTGAAATAAACAAATACCCAAAGGGCGCCAAATGTAAAGAAGGCACCTAAAAGCCCAATAAGTGACATTGGTAAGAAAAGTGTAAACTTTCTGCTTAAATAGTCCTTAGCGGTAATCTTTGATAAACCGATAGGTCTTCTTGGAGCACCTTAAGGCGGTATCCACTGTACTTCTATCAAACATTTCTTTTCAAGATTCAAGACTAAATAAAGGATTCGGTAATAAAAATAGTCAAGTAAAATCGTGGCTAACTTTTTAATCAAAACTGAACTTCTGTCAAACATTTCTTTTTAAGATTCAAAACGTAAAGAACTTAATTTTAAAGATAGATTTACTTATGCCAAGCCTCACTTATTTGAAATGAAAATTCTTGATAAATATCAATAAATGTTTTTAATACTCATTGTTTTTTGTACAAATCTCCAACCACCTTAAAAGATAAAAATAAATACAACTTAAGAAATGATAATTTGATTCGACAACCTTTCAAAATAGTTTTAGAATAGCAATCATTTAATTTCGTGGAGCTTTTTTTTGGACTAAAATAGTTTTAAAACATTTTGATTTCTTTGGAATGGAGTTACCTCTAAATCAAAAAAAGCTCAAGGAAATCATTTAGATGATATATTTTTGTATTTTTAAAGATTAAATAATTTAATTCTTTATTTTTATGCCGTGATGCAATTAAATATGTATATAAATGCACTTAAGTTTTTCTTGCGCTTTATATACTTGACCATGTATCTATGCATTTGACTTTTATGAGATTTTTAAATTTACGAGCGGTTCTCGATGAAGACTTGATGTTCTTCTGCAAGTGTCCGCTTTCTTATTATTTATGAAATCAAATACATATATATTTTTTGGTTATTTATATTTTCTTGTTGATTTTGGTTATTTTTCTTGTTGTAAAAAGATTTTTTAATCTTAACGATTTAATTTATTTGTATAACGACTTTTATACTTTGTAAAATTTTAAGTAGGGTAAGGCGGGGTGAATTCGTCACGGAGCGAATTTGTCACTTATGCGATTCAGCTTTAACATAAAAATGCATAAAAACTAAAAAATCTATTTACTAGGTTTTTTTGAAACTTTTTTTACTGATATTTGTAGAATATTATTAAATAAGTGTTTTACACATTTCCTTATGATTATTTTTTAAATATTGTGAGTAAACATCGAAGTTGAAAAATACTTTTCTGCTTAAATGCTTATCGTCGAAAAAATAATCAAAATACGAAATGTTTTGATCACAAAATATATATTTTTCGATAGATCAATGTCAATATTTTTAAAATAACAATTTAAGTTGCTATGTTTTTTCTTTCTAAATCGTCAAGTAATGATTGTTATCACATGCTCAAATGAGGGGCAACTTTGTCGTTAAAGAAAAGATAATACTTAAGATAAATTAGGTTCTTTAATCACGCAAACTTTTAAATTATGGAGCGCCGTTTAAAAGAAAATCAAGTTGTTCTAAAAACGGACAGTTAACCACCATTTTTTCATATTTAAAGAGACAAAGATTTTAGATGCATCTAAATTTCCTTTAGGTACAAAAGTACATTGCAGTAAAAGCGGATATATTGATTAAGAGATGTTTATTCACTTTTTTTACATCATTTTAATGAGTTTTTTTATAAAAGTGAATGGGAAAAAAGTATTGTTTTTTTTGGATGAATAAATTTTGAAGCAATTTAATTAGCAATAGAGATGGATATTTAAATAATTGCATTCCACCTTATAGTACACATTGCCTTCAACCACTTGACAAACATGTTAATAATGTAGTTAAACATATGTGGTCTTAGGCCTTGTCTAATTGCTTAGCTGAAAACGATAACATTTCTATGCCTCGTAGAAACTTTCACATTATTTTTAACAAAATATTGCAACTTTCACATTGTTGTAAACAAAATATGGCCCAACATACT